GTACGTTTGTTAGACTGTGTACGTTAGAAACTTTGATGGTAGATTTAAAATAGTTTTACACAACATATTTTGCAGGAATTGAAAGTATGGATCCGGTGGAAGATGTTAATGCTGAATAGTGACCGTCTAGGTTATTTGCTTTGGACCATTACCCTAAAATAACGAAGAGAAATGTTTATTCTAGACCGGAGTACCTTGCTACAATAGTGAATGCTTTGAAAGGAATCGAGGAGATTAAATTTCTTTTAAACTCTCCTTTTGGGAAGATTTTTGAAATCTCCCCTAACAAGTTTGTGTGTCAATTGGTGACAAATAAATGACACAAGATGTATGTAGATGTTTTTTGCGGGAGGTGAGAAATACCCCAAAAGAAAAAAGGTAAAACAAGTAACTAAACGGAAAGAGGGATGCAAAAAAGTTTGGACAACGCTATTTGGGAAAGATATATGCGAAACCAACAGTACCTGACTTGGAGAATAAATTAGATATAGCTCACTCCACTATGTGTTAGTTGTTGCACATTTATTAATGGGTGTAAACAATTTTTCCTTTTATTGGTATGCACATGAAATGTGACTTTTCTAAGGTTTAAGAGAGTTCGAGGATGTAACATTGAATTGTTATATTAAAAAACTAATATGTTGATATCCATTTTGTTATATTTTTTATGATGTAGTTGATGTATGTATGAATGAATGAAGCTATTTTGAAGATTAACGTACGCAATTTTCAAACAGATGATAGTTTGTGACGGTAAACGTACACGGTCATAAGACAAGATGAACATCGTAATAAGGAGATATACGTAATGTATTTTCAAAATTGGCGACGTATCCAAAACTAAAAACGTACATCATCATACAATCGAAAACGTACATCATTCTACAAACGAAAACGTACTCGAGTAGAAGATGACACAAAAACATACACTACATTAATCTGAGAGTGTTATGAAATCTTATATGTATATTAGATTTTTGTATGTCTTCTTGTTATGTTCTTCGCTTTTACATCTTATACAACTATACGACAGAGATGTTTTTCAAAATAAAATTGCATCTACTACCCCGTGTTCACATTAAATTCATAATATGGTGTACATATATTATGTACACGTACACTAGTCCAGTAAGACATGAAAATGCTCCTTAATGACCCTCTAATCCCTACCTCAAAACCTTTGACTTCAAATACACTATGCTCTTTTGTATTCGTGTACGTCAAACATTCACTTCCACGTACTTTTTCTTGTACACAGTTAATGATGTACGTACATTTGTCAAATGGTTAAATTGTCACCATTCTCCTCAAAATCATCAAAGTTTATTATAATTATTTTTCTGTTTTTTTTTTCACTTTCTTACCATTCTATAAAATATTTCAGAAAATCATGTTTTTCAGCTATTTTTTTAAAAACATTTTTACTTATAAATGTTTTTAACAATTTTTTATATAGATTTATGACGATCACTTTAATTTTTTAGTTACAAGAGTTGTGTTTTTTTTTAATAACTCTTTCTTTTTTGACAATTCCAAAAAGTGTTTTAAATTTTTTTAGTCGTAATTATTCACTCCGGAAATGGTTTTTCTTATTATGTTAACTCCATATTCAATTTGTACATCTTATTATATAAAGTATGGTTTTCAAAGTTAATAACTCATAGGATCGTGACACGTGGAAAATCTATCGATCTTAGATTTTGACACGTGTAAAACAAAAATTTCCTTTTATTTAATTTTAAAAAAGTAAAGAAGATAATTATAAGGAAACTATATGTATCTTATTAAATAAAAATAAAAATTATAAAATTATTTACCATTTCTAATTTAAAGCTACTAATTCTAAAAGAAAAGTATTAATTTTTCCTTAAAAACTAAAAAAAGATTAAAGAAATTATAAAATTAACTAATAAAATACGATAATTAAGAAGACTCTACAATCAAAAAGATTTAAGAAATTATATAATTAATTAATAAAATAAAATAATTAAGGAAATTGTACAATCAATTAATCTTTTAAAAGAAGATTTTAAATACTCACCTCTATATAAACAAAAACATTTCTTCAGAAGCACCACCATTGCTTCAACTTCGATATATTGTCAAAGCTTTTTTAAGGGTAAAAATCGTTTATTTTTCTTAACCATGCAAAAAGTAAAATAAGAATTTTTACATGTGCTATTAGTCAATAAAATTTGGCATGTATTAGTCAATAAAATTTGAAAAAGTAATGAGTTTATAAGAATTAATTTTTGATTACTTGATGATAATATTATTATAGTTATACTTATTTTTTTATTCTAAAAAATTGAAATAAGTGAAAACACAAAAATTGGAAAAATGGCATATAGGAAGTAATTTTTGATTATTTGATGAGAATGTCAGCATATTTTTTATTTATTAATTTTAAGTCAATTAATATTAGTTTGACATGAGGTAAATTTAACTTATAAGATTAATACATATATATATGTAACATTATTTTAAAGTACAAAAAGATTTGTGGATGTTTACTTTTTTTTAAAAAAAATTATGTTTGATATTTGTTAATTATTTTAATATTTACTAAGATATAGATTTGATATGATATATATATTATTTGGATATAAACTTTTTGTCATTTATCTACTAAGATGAAGTGTGTGTAGAATTAAAATCTATCGTCTTCTTATACAAAGCTTGGTTTCTAAAATTAGTAACTCATGGGATCGTGACACGTGTCAAGTCTATCGATCAGATTTTGACATATGATTGGGTGTAAATATACATTTTTTTTTTTTGGTGGGCTGTAAATATACATTTTTAGTAATAACATAGATCTGATACGTTTGTAAATAGATGTGATAAGATGATTATTTAACCAATAGTTTGCGTGTAAAATATTTTTTGAAGAAGTTGTAGAACTATATTTTAAGGAGATTGCGAGACTACATTTTTGAAATTTGGAAATAAATATAATGATGAATATTTGACAAAAAGTTTTGGTGATTGATAATTTAAATTATTGTAATAAGTGTTGCAATAAATATAAAATATAGAAATGTAAATCACTATATAAAAAAAACAAATATATAATTAACTTATTTGATGACTAAAAATATCTATTTACTTTCTAAAGATAGTTTCTACTTATAAATTTTTTTGAATATATATTGTTTTGTTAAATTTAATTTTATATAAAAAAATTAAAACCCGCACATCGTGCGGGTCCTTATCTAGTTATTATATATATCATCTTATCATAGATAAATTGTAACATATTAATATTACTATGTACGTACACAAAATTAAATTTTATTGTGTACACATTTTAACTATGTACATCTAATTCCACACTGAGGCCTTTATATATTGAAGAATGTCTGTCCGATACAATCATTAAATCTTCACTGTCTGGAACAATGTCAGCTAATTTATCAAAGAACCACACCCATGAAGCGTCAGTCTCACCATCCACAACACCAAACGCTATTGGAAATATTTGGAAGTTCCCGTCTTGGGCACATGCAATGAGGAGACATCCCTTGTAACGTCCTACTAGCTGCGTTCCATCTACGACAATTACCTTCCTCATATACTTCAGACCTTTTATAGAAGCCCCGAGAGATACAAAAACATACTTAAAGCGCTGCGTACCATCAGCTTCAGGTGTAGAGTGTAGGTGAGTTATCGTACCCGGATTAGCTAATTTAAGAAGATACAAATAGGTAGGCAAAAACCTGTAACTTTTTATATCATCCCCCCTTACATTTTCCACTGCAACCTCTTTAGCTCTCCAAGCGGTAGAATATGAAATCCGAACATTGAGATCATTTAGGAGCAACTGTGGTAAATCGACAGCTCTCGGACCCCCTTGCGTAGAACTGTATCTGCTCTTCACTACCTCTCCGAGAAGCTTATAACTAGCATGTTTATTATAATTCTTACGAGTGTCGATGTCACACGTATGGGTGGTATCATACAATGTGATTTTGAAACATTCTGAATTCTTGACAACTTGAGCTGTCAAATGCCATGGACAAGTATCATCAACGCAGACCATCTCCAATCTTGTAGGACATGACCTACGTTGCTTGTAGCAAAAGCATTGTTTGATTGCGAGATAAGACATTGTTTGTTGTATGACTTTTCTGTTCTTAAAAACACTCCCGACATACAAAGTCTCACCTGTCGTACTCAGTTCAACTTGTGTCTCATCATCTCGTAAATTGGCTAAATCATCGAATACCGGAGCAGCATCATTATCGAGAATCTCCAACTCGCCACCATGTAATGTAGAAAAGTCATTATACACTTCGTAAGCCTCAGCTGCGGTAACTAACCGATTATCATTCAGTGTCCCACTTGCGGAAGCTCCAATACCAAGGTCGATAGTGACTTCGTATATACCATTAATATTGGTATCCGTGTTACCTTCGCAGCCTGTATCTTGTACACACTCTGTAGTGTACGTACATTGGTACACATTCCCGCACAAATCAATTAAGAACGAAATATATTGCGTAACCGGAACAGTGTACGTAACTGAACCGCTTAACTGAACCGTACAGTGAACCGCTTAACTGAACCGTACGCTTAACTGAACCGTACAGTGAACAGTACATCGGTAGGGGTAAAATGGTCAGATTTTGGCCAAAATGTCAAAACTTGAAAGCCCATTCTCACTTTGCCAAAACTTGAAATTAAAACTTGGTCAACTGCCATGCAATTTACCCGAGAGAAAACCGGTCCACAAACTTCATGATCCTATTTATAGTAAACTATAAATAAAATACTACTACAAAAACAAAATCAAAGTTTCGAACCCTAACTTGTAAAACACCTAATTCGAGAGAGATAAAGACCATGGAAAGTAACCTGCGCAGGGACGACGAGGGCGATGAAATCCACGGTAAAGATGCAACCACCGCGTCTTCGGCTCTTTCCTCGTGGAAACCTAGAAAGCTCCCAGCCTCGGCCCATCTCCTAAGTTTCGGAGGCGACGACGAGCAGATAGCTCTCCGTGTGACGACGAGAAAGCATAATAACGAGAAAGACCGTGTCCAAGGAAATACCGGCGGTGTGGGGACTACGGCGGCGATGAAATCGGCGGTGAAGATGCTACGGCCGCGGTGAAAGTAGAAGATGAACCTCTCCCACGTGTGACGAGAATGTATAAAAAGGGGAAAGACAGAGTGGAATCTTCATCTTCCTCGAACCAGGCTATCATGTCCAGGTGTGGCTTTTATACGGCAGAGGAGCTGCTCGAGGACATAAAGGAGGCACATTGGTATCGGCTATCTCACCCTGAAGATCCGCATCCCTATCAGGATGAGATTGATGCTATGAGAGCCATTAAAAAGAATATAAGGCCGTCACCACTTCCACCATGTACTTCTGTGGTAACTTTTAACGGTGTGAGAATGAACAGCTCTTTTGAGAAACGTGCGTCTGTTATCTTCTGTGATGAAAAGCCTACTGCTAGAGATTCCACTATGAAGAAGAGGAGGAAGAGGAGCTGGATGATGGATACACTTTTGCCTGGTAACTTTTTTTCTTGAATATCTTCCTTCTTGAGAGTGTTTTTCTTGCTACAATTCACCAATTCATAGTCATCTCATCTCTTAGTTTCCATCTTTTGTAATTGCTTTGCTTTGTTAAGTTTCTGCATTTAGTTAGGGTTTTATTTTAACAGGCAATTTAAGAGGAGGTGGTGGATAGTCTTTTCTTTTGCTCTGTTGCTTTTTTATCATGAAAATGTTTGATAACGATATGTAACTGTCTCCATTGGTTCGCTTTCCTTGCATAATCATGATTATTGATATGTCTGTTATATGCTGCAGGTATCTCTCCAAGCGTGGATCAGGTATTCTCATCTCTCTCCCTTCCCCACTGTTTATTTAGTCCAACAATTGTTTATGTTTTCTTGTTATATGCTCAGTACACCAACTTTTTTCTTAATGCAGTGAAATAAAACTCTTCAGAATCATGCAGAGGATATCGAGAAGGCCCTCCCTCTCTGACCTTTCTTGGCTTCTTAAAACTTATATAAAATTGCTAGTTATACTTAAATAGCTCCTTCAAGTTAGTTGGCACAAGCTTTGGTTGTCATTACGAATGTTAACTCTTTTATTTTGCTGTTAATTTACAACTTAAGATAACACTGCAGTTACATTCTTACATAGCTCTTCTTGCCAATGTTTACTTGATTGATTCTTGCCGTGTTCCAGACACTGTCCAGAGAGCTGGGTCATACAGGCTGTATTATGAGTGTGTTTTTTTTTTCTTTTCTATTCAAAATCAATCATTCTTCAAGACTTCAAGTCTTGAGGAGCTTTGGTTTAGTCAAATAAATATATGCCACTTTTAATAAAACTAATAAATTTTTAAAAAATAGTATTACATAGAACAAAGGGTGTAAGAAGAAGAAACATATATAAAAAGTGTGAGATGATGATATATTGAGAGTGAAAAATGGTTCCACTTAATAACACAGGAAGCTTCCCGAAAACATTCAAAGCTTTCCCCTTAAATGATATATTCCTCAAAAGAAAACCCCAAAGAAGATTTGAGATTACAGGCTAAAATGCGGTTAGCACAACCGGGTCGCAATAGTCTTCTTAGGTCTCAAAAGATTATGGACCCACGAGATTTCGGATGTACAAAAGAAAAAAAATCAAGATATAACTATAATAATAAATTATAATCCCTTTTTGAGATAAAAGATTTTAAAGAAAAAACAGAGGAATCAATTTTGGTGTTTTACCGGATTGTGTGTTTTGGGTTTTGTTTTTATAACTTCTATTGTCCCGTCTTGAGCCGTTTTGGTTTCCGAGTTTGCTTGACATCGTCGTTTCTGGTTCGAGAAACCGGTTCACGAACTTCACGATCCTATCAGTAGTAAACAAAACTATAAACTATCAAGATTCCAAACCCATAAAAAAATGTGTGTGAATCGAATCAAACGTAAGTAAAGAAAAAGATACCTTGAAGGAAGACGAGGATTGTTTAGCGAGCTCGATTTCAACGGAGATGCTTGCTTTCGTTAAGTCCACTCCTGAATTCTCCAATGCTTCTCTCAGTGTTTTCACTAATCTGCTCCACAAAAATGTATAAAAGGTTAATAACTTTTTTTTGCTTTCAACTGTTACAAGATCAAAAGAGAGGTTTTTAGTTTACCCTTGCGAGTAAACACTTGAAATTCTGATGTTACCCTCAAGATCTTCCTCATCTTCTACTTCTTCTTCTTCTTTCAATGGCTGAGTTTGACTCCGAGAACTCGGGCTTGGCTCTACAGTCTCTGATGATGCGACTCTTGTGTGGAACTGAGGTACGGGATTACCCGCAATCACAGGAGAGAAAAAACTGTTGCTTTGAATCGACAATGGAAATGGAGAGGTCGTTGCGGTTGTTGGATGATCGATAACAACACCTTGTGCTGTTGCAAGGACCGAAACCGGAATGTTGTTCTTCTCTACTTCCATTTTTGGAGCAAAAGCAACTCCTTCAGGTACTAGCTGTTGGTTGTTACTCTGCTGGTTGTAAATGGATCACATGGTTTGTTTGTTTTCAGTTTCCAACCCGAGAAAAAAAGGGAATGAAGTATGGTCGGAAAACGTGAGAATATATTTACCCAATTCAATAGCTTCGCAGGTTCATGATTCCATCCTTGGTAAGAGGTCTCATACTTGTCTGCTTTCTCTTGTAAGAATTGAATATACTCGATAACCTATGTTTTCCAAAAAAAAAACAATTGGAGATTAGGAACAGATGAGACTGAATCTTACAGTCACAGAAAATTTGGCCAAAAAAGTATAGTTATACCTCTAGTAAGAAAGAGGCCTTATCCCGCTTTTGGTCGCTGTTAGGTATTAGTTGTCTCAACATTTGAAATCTGCGGAGGGATCCATTAACAATGTTTGATTAGTATCTCCACTCTGCTAAACTATACAACCAATTCTGGCTTTTGCTAATTAATATCGTGCATATGTACAGATATTCAGGACTTACCTATCATTGATCTTGCTCCTTCTCCGTTGCTCTGTAGCAGAATGTTTAGACCTAGGTGTGTTCAGCTTTTGATCGTTAGCAGAGCCTCTCACATCTGCTTTTACCCTCAAATCCACTGTAAAGAACCAATCAATCAGATCCTAAGCTGTTACGGTTAAGAAAACATAATGGTAAACTCTCAGAAAATACAAACCTCTATGGCTCTGGCTAGTCGAGGAGCTTTCTTTCTTCATGATAAAATCCTCTTCATCATCTAAATCATCTTCCTGTGAACTTCCTTTTGCTGACCTTATCATGTCCATGAAGCTCTGGCTCTTAAGCCCAGACCCTCTGCAACCAAAGTAAAACCTTAGTTGATCACCCTTTTAAGTCCATAGACCGAGTAATAGAACAAAGAGGATATGAGACTGACTGAGAGGAAGAGCGAGAACTGAAACCGCTCATATGATTATTTGTCAAAGACTGGGACCGTCGTTCCACCACTGGCCATTGTCCCACAGTTGCTGCAACATCAGCTATACATAAAAAAAAAAACTTATTTCAGCATTTCATGTGGTTTCTAAATACTTTAAACTAGTCCAAAAATACATCAAGATTCAATTTTACTTGTTACCTCTCATGTTTACTCTCTCCCCAACATTATTCTCCTTCCTTGTCTGTCCCTTCTTTCCAGAAGCAGATTCATCCCACAGAGTGAATCCACTTGATGCAGCAGCGTACGAACTGCAATTAGAGTTTGAATTCTCATCGACAATGTTTCTCTCATTACCGCCACTCGCTTGCACAGCAGCATTGAACATCATCGGTGGTGACAACTCCGGCTTGGGAATTCTCTGATGATGATGATGGAAGTAAGGAATGGGGCTTATTGTATAAGTCCCTATACCACCGGGAAGCACGTGCTGCAGCGGTGGAGGAGGTGCAGGGGGCGGTGGCTTCTCGGATGATGTAGTGGTAGTGTTAATCCTACTTACTTCTTCTTTAGCACCAACACATTCTAGCGGTTGCAGAAAATCATGGGTTTTCAAGTGACTACCTGCTCCATGTACCATCATAATTAAAAACATATACTATATGTTAGAGAAATAAATCCCTACATCTTATATAAAGTTGTATGCATTCAAACATTTAACGAAAATGAAAATCACCCATTTATTCAATTACTGGTTCTAAAATCTCATCATCTTATAGTTTATAGATATGTGTATGCATCAACATCATGAGGGTTCAAAGATATTTATTCGAATGCGAGGTTTACGACATGTGTATCCCCCATAACCAAAAAAAGAAAAACGGTCCCAAATTTCCATGGGCTTTAAGCACAGTTGGACCCATTAGGACCCAACAAAATAGCAACATTTTGATCCATGATTCGTCTTAAAGTCAGATCATATGCACGCGCGAAAAAAACGTGACCCCTTTTAAGAGAATCTTAAAGAAAATAAAAATGGCAAAAGGGTAAAATGGTAAAATATACCTTGAGAAGAAGGTGGTGTTGGCTTTGGATCTGGGTGGACGGTTGAATGACTGCAGAGCGATAAAAAATCATGTGTTGGTTTTCTCCCTGTGGAAATTCTTCTTAATATATAGTATATCAAAAATTAAAAAATGCAAACGCAAAAAAACTATATAATTTAAAATTCTAAATCTCGTGGAATTTAAACTCTCTGTTTTATCTATAAAGCATTGGTAATAATAATATCTGAGAATAGTGTGGTTACCTTCGGTTTTGAAGGGACGTGGTTGAGGAAGCTCCATGAACGACAGCTTCGACGGTTTTTGAATTCTTTTATATTATATTATTAGTCTGTGCGCGGGAATTGCCAAAAAAATGGACAAATCTTCGCAAAAAATGGCGTGAATTCGACGGAATTCTGTAGCTAGTAGCTCAGATCTGTGACTGGTAGCAGCTGATTCAGGCGGTGTTGTGTTTTCCGATGGTTGAAGACGCGGAATTGAGCTCCGAAGTCGCTGAATTATGCTTTCTCTGAGGCTTTTTCCCGATAAAAATCTTCGAATTTGGTCAAATTCTGCTCGATTTAACCTAAATCAGCCTCCGCCGCAACTTTTCCCCGCGAATTCCCCGGAATTTACGGGAATTCAACCGTAACAATCGCCAGAAGTCACCAATTTCGTGGATTCGATAGATCTGTCATCAAAATTGGATACGAATTCAAGACAATAACCATAATTCAGCAGAATTCATAGCTCAAACCAACTCAATTTCGCGTAATTCAAGTCAACCCATGAACATGGAGATACAAAAACTGGAATCCAAGTCAAATCTCTAAAGAAAACGAATGGATTAGATTTGAGCTAAGAAGCGTACCTTCTTCGACAACAAATTACGTGAAGCTTGGAGATCTCTAAGTCAGAGACACCAAACAAAAACTTTGGAATTTCGAGATAAAACTCTTCGATCTGATCGGAAAAAAAAGATCAGCCAGAGAGCTATCTCTCTCACTCTCTCTCTCTCTCTTTATCTCTCTCTCTCGGTGTTTAGAGAGGAAATGAGAAGGCGGAAATGTTTTTATACAGCCATAATAATAACGCTCCCCGTTAAACAGCAAATACACTCCGTTTAAACGACGTTAATCTAACGGAGTCACGTGGTGGATGTCTTTTGTTAGTTGCTTTCTAGTGTAAGGTAACAGAGCGGGTTTATCCGTTTAGCGGCGCTAAAAATTAAAAAAAAAAAAAGAAAAAAAAGTAACTAAATAATACACACACGAATCGATATTATTATTCTTTATTTATTTGTTTGGTTTTAATCGATGTACGCTTTTGTTTTTATTGTGTTCGACGATCCCCATTAATTTGTTTCGTTTTTCTGTATATTTTAAATTTTACTGCATTAAAAATACTGGTGCTTTTGAAAAAATGACTATTGCTCGTATATAACTTTTACGAGATTTCAATGATTGAACATCAAATATTGCATATCGTCCTTTGAATGAAAAACTCTATAAGTTTACAGAAAATCAAAAGTTTCAAACAAAATTACAACGTCGAGGAAAAAAACACAACTTTTTTTCTTGTACCAAAAAAAAAAAAACACAACTTTTACTTACTTTAACAACAACAAAAAAACATAAGAAAATCCTTTTAACTTTTACTCATTCATTTTTCCTTGTATATATTGAACATTAATATTCATTGACTCTATCAATTAATGGTCATTTTTCAATATTCGTTGTCGGCAATTGAAACTCACATGCACGCTATTAATTTAACTTTTTATAGGCATGCATACGAAAAATATGTTCATAATATACTACAATCATGGCGATCTGGAAAACATTAAATCTTCACGGATTCATAATTTAATACTCCGATTAAAAAGCTTGTAGTTTTTGTGACGTTTTTCTCTATCAATATTTCCAATTCATTACTATAAGCTTTTTGCGTGTCAAGGCACTCTATTATACGGAGTATGTTTCTGTATTAGGAATCCCACGAATCTGATATGCAAGTCATCGTTATTCTTGTATTGCATAAATTTAATACCACCAAAACTTAAATGAAGAGAAAGAAAAGATCTGATGACATTTTGTGTCTCTTCATCACTATTTTACTAATCTTTAAAAAAAATAACTTAAGAATTTGAAGAACACTATTTACTAATCTTAAAAAAAATATCCTATAACAGAAGAAGATTTTGTGCCTCTGTTTAGAAAATCATGCTTATAAAAAACCTTCATATATATGCATAACTCGATTTTTTGATTGGTCAATTGAAAGGTAATTGGTAATTTTTGACAAAGACACATACTAGTATCATGCATACATCGATTTCATTACATATTTCAGCTGCTTCTGCATTTTCTTCATCTATATAACTTCACTTTACAGAAGTTTGATTTCAAAACTCCGGAATATAACGCTACCTCTGCTGGCTGAAGATAATTACCAATTTAAGAGGAAATCATTAGTAGAAAATTGTGCTAGAATTGATGGTATATGCTTTAAAAAATAAAATGATGGTAAATAGGGGGACAAGTTCGATTTTGTACGTGTCTGCTTCTATGTACGTATTTGTGTGAGTGGGGATATATGTATGTGACATTAGGTGGAACAAAGACAGCTCTTTCTTTGTGCAGTGCCATTAACAATTGTCAAAACCATAATTAAGACCCTGATCATGTGAGCTAAACGCATTTTTAAATTTAGTTGAATGCCACTTGTTACAACACTAACTAACACTAACTTGTAAGTAAACCAAATAGACGACTTACGATACATATTTTATAAGTTTAGTTAGCATTTACTAAAGTAACATATGTCTAGTGTATGGACGGATTTGAGTTAGGTATTCGCAAAAAATCAAGTATTTCTTAACCCAAAAATGATAAAATATTTTCATAGTATAATTTAATATCCTTATTGAGCAGAGTATCGTAAGTATATATATATGGATTTAAAATTTTAGCTTAGTACGTATATACTTGATTATAATTATTTGAACTTTTCAGTAGTTATGGTCTTATAGATTAAATTTATCTTACGAATTATATTTATTACACTCTAATGCGTCCAAGCTATACATTGATTTACGCCCATCACTTTTTTGTCGTAGTTTAATGGCCCTAGTTTAATCTGAAAACAGAAATAACAAATTTAAAAGAGAGAGAGGAGAGGTGAGGAACTATAGCTAAATAGTGTTGGATCACATGAAGAGAAAAATGGTACAAAATAGGGAAAGAGCAAAAACAATAACACATCCCCACATGCCCTCCACTTTGTCTCGTGAGTTGTTAGGTTGTGCTTGAACACGCTTTATTCTCCTTATTTTATATAACCCCATGAATTATATTATAATGATTTAAATCACTCGCAATCTCATGGTTCTTTCATGAATTGTATTATTGTTATTCGAGATTCGGTTTCTCTAAAGCACAAGTAATTGGTTAGATACATTATAAAAAAACAACTGGAATTAGTAAGATTTTTACACGTTTATTTAGATTAAAAAAAAAGGAAATCAGGAATGTAAATAAAAACGAAATGGTCAATTCAAGCGAAAGACGAAGAAGAGGTTAGTGTGACGTCGTTTTCATGATGTTAGTGGGGCCACGTGAACTGACTCTGCAACTCACGTGAGAAAAACACTGTTGAATCTCGAGAGTCAGGACATAAATAGATTTTCGAACATTTAACATTCAAGGGCAATGTAGTAATAATACATCTTGACTAGGAACTGTTTATTGATATGCCACAAACCGACCTATCCTTAACCATCCGTGGTTCGGTTGTACGTAATTCATCAATAAATCAAAACTTTTTTTTTCAATAAATCAAAACTTACTACTCCCTCTGTTTTTTAAAAGTTGTCGTTTTAACTGTATTTGGACAAATTAAGAAAAGGTATACAATGACTATATTAACCTCATAAAAATGACAAGTAATTATTTACAAATAATTTGTGTTCAATAAAATGAGGGTAATTTGGGTAGTTATTGGCATAAATTACATTATTACCTTAAAACGACAACTAATTTAAAACAAAAAAAAAACTCTAAAACGACAACTATTCGAAAACGGAGGGAGTACTATTTTATATGCAACTTGAGTTAGTTAAAAAAAAAAAACATTTAAAGTATGTTTCAACTCCAAAAAATTAAGATAAAAATCAGTTAGGGAATATTAAGCATCCATATAATAACAAAACATATTTTCTTTTCCTACGCATATAAAATATATCAATGAAATTAACTAAATTAGTGTATAGGAGAAAATCATTCGCACGGAATCGTAAGATTACTTAAATATATGTACACATTATATCATATTTAATCCTATTTGAAATAAATCAATACCAGATCTCATCACAACTCACCAGGTTCATGCATACGCTAACCACTGTTTTTAAATCAAGATTTGATAATTTTTTAAGAGTAAACAATACTTCTAGTATCATACTAGCTATCAAACATCTTCTTCTTTTATTTTTGGTTTTAATGTTAGTTATCAATGCTCTCTACCTGGTTTTCTTACAATTTATCAAACATTCTCTTTTCGGAAGTTTAACTAAAAATTTAAACCGTTATTTATTTATTTTGTTGTTAAAGGGTTTTAAATTTAAACCTTAATTAATTACAGAAACTTTGCATACACAAAAGAGTGTGTGGGAGAGCATCTCATCTGAATTAGCTGTCTTCTTTACTTCTTTGTTTCCTTGTAAAGAGGACTATTAGTTGTCTCTAATCATTGTTAATAATATAACAAATTTAATAATCATAAAGCAATTAGGAAAGAAGAATAAGAAGCTGGATTTCAAGAAAAACAAATGTATTTGTAATGCGGACATTCCTCTGTACATTTGCACAGGAATCCTCTTAGGGATCAGTTAACAAATAGTTTATCTATCTATATATCATGTGACTTAGGGTTAAAACACGAGATAAAACAACTAATGATGCATTAAATTAAATACAGTAGTATTAAGTTTTTAAGGGAAAACGACCTGTGTCCCCCTAGTAAGTTTCACATAGTATCACAACTACACCGAATTCGGATCTCGATCGCTGTCCACACAGATTAAAAGTTACACTCATGTGTCCCCCCAAATCAAAACTTCAAGACCGCCATCTCCAAAATTTTGATTTTCGTGGTTTATACTTGGTTTACTGTACCCAAACCACCATTAACCGCGTAACAAAGAAAATAAACCTGATTTACCCATAAACCAACCCGATTACAACCCGAGAATTTAAAACCCCCAATTCTCAAAATCCCCAATTCCCAGAATCCCTAATTCTAAGAACCTAAGAACCCTAGAAACTCAGAAAACTCAAATTGGAGATTTCAACTGATGGATTCAAATGAGTTGGAGCCGCCGTCGTCTGATGTTGTCGTTCATCACCAGCCTTCCGAGTCTGTTCCGCAAGCAGAAGAAGGAGAAGGAAATCCAGAACCAGACATTGAACCCGACGATGAAGACCTACTAGAGCGAGACCAGTTTGAAATCGAGAAGGCATGTACGGAGTTTAGAGACGAGCCTTCGATTATTCACGACGAGTATCCGGATAATGACAGTGATGAAGATGACGAAGGTGCTCGGGAGAGAAAGCGTGACAACATCAGCCGTGGAGTTGGGAATCTGTACTATCACCAGACATTCTTCAACAGCATTGCGTTTAAGGAAGCTGTACTCGACCATGCCTTGAAGACAGGATGCAACATTGCACAATACAGGTATGATCAAGATAAGATTGCCTTTAAGTGTGATAGGGATGGATGTATCTGGCGGATCTATTGTTCTATCACTAAGAAATGTCGAAAGTGGAGGGTTAACGTGTTCAAGGATGTTCATACATGTAATCCGAATGGAGATTGTGAGATGCTGAAGGTTCCTGTCATTGCTAGGTTGTTTTTAGATAAAATTAGAGAGGAACCTGAGTACTTTTTGCCTAAGAAGATTGAACAAACCATTAAAGAAAAGTGGAAGATCACTGTATCTAGGCCTCAATGTCAAGCTGCAAGGAGAAAAGCATTGAGTTGGATTGAGAGAGAATATGATGAGCAGTTTGCAAGGCTCCAAGATTATGCGGCAGAGATACGAGAATCAAATCCAGAATCGACTGTTGCAGTTGAAACTGTGACTAATGATGCAGGACAAGAGGAGTTCAACAGGTTCTATGTATGCTTCCATGCGATCAAAAAAACTTGGATAGAGTCTTGTAGGCCATTGATAGGAGTAGATGGAACTTTTATAAAAGGAAAAGTTAAGGGGCAGTTGCTGGTTGCTTTAGGTAGAGATGCAAACAATCGGATATATCCAATAGCCTGGGGATGTGTACAAGTAGAAAACATAGATAATTGGGTGTGGTTTGTTGAAAAGCTGAAGTCTGACTTGGGACTGATGGATGGTGATGGTTATATCATTGTTTCTGATCGCCAAAAGGTATTAACCATTCTGATTTTGAGTTTAGTTATTCATGTTGTTGTTGTGGCTACACAAAGTGCTTAATAACCTCTTGTTTGTATTTTGCAGGGTCTAATCCGAGCTGTGGAGCTAGAGCTGCCAAAGGCTGAACATAGAATGTGTGTCAGACACATCTATGGAAACTTGAAGAAAAACCATGGCAAAGATAAAGAGATGAAGATGTATGTTTGGGATTTGGCATGGAGCTACAATGAGAGTGCTTATGAAGCAAACCTGACAAGACTTTACAACTATAATGTGGCTGTCTGGCGTGATGTTGTCAAGTCAAAACCAAGAACTTGGTGTAGGGCGTTTTACAAGCAAGGAAACTTCTGTGAAGATGTTGAGAATAACTCAACTGAGTCATTCAACAACTCAATTGTGAAAGCTAGGGACAAACCGTTTGTGCCAATGCTTGAGACCATCAGGAGACTTGCAATGGTCAGGATTGCCACAAGAGCTGCTGAATCTCATGAGCACAAAGGGAGATGCACACCATATGTTAGTAAGTTTCTTGCCAAAGAATTTGAGAAAGCTTCAGAGATGACTATAAGAAGAAGCACTAATGACATGTATGAAGCTACCAGAGGATTAGATACTCATAGGATAAGCTTGACTGAGAGGACATGCACTTGTCAGAAATGGCAAATCTGTGGCATTCCTTGTGAGCATGTTTATGGAGTCCTGCTAGACAAAAAGCTTGAAGTTGAGGACTATGTGTGTCACTGGTTTAGGACACCTATGTGGAAGAAGAATTACACAGACGGCATATTTCCACAGAGAGGACCAGCTTATTGGCCTTCAACAGAGCACCCTAATGTGCATGTACCACCACCACCACCGCAGCCTGGGAGAAAGAAAGGAAAGGAGAGTAAGAAGGATAAGAAGAGGAAAAAGGGAAAGTATGAATCTCCTACCAAGAAGGCACCAAAACAGATGAAAAGGGTAATGCACTGTGGTGTTTGTGGTGCAGCTGGCCACAACTCAAGGTTTCACAGGAAGAAGTCTTCTGCACAGGTTAGCAACATAATAGTTAGTTATATGCACTGTCATTTGCTCTGTTTTATAGTTAGTTACTGACTCCTGTTTTGTCTTATAATGTGTCTTAGACCTTTGAAGGAGTGTCTGCAGCAGTCCCTGCCATTCAAGGCACTCAAGGCAGTCAACTGGAATCGTCTCAAGGAGTTGTGATGTCTCAAGGATGAAGGATTGGCTTCATTGGAAAGATTAGAGAATTAGGTGTTAGATGGGTTTAGTTTTTGTTTTCCATCTGATTTAGACTTAACGGCTATGTAACTTTTGTTCTCCATCTGATTTAGACTTTTCGGCTTTGTAATTTTTGTTCTCAGACATGCTTGAACCAGTTTAATCATTTAAGGATTTTGTTGTTCTCAGTTTTGTCCAATTTTTTCCTCAGAAATTTTTGTTCTCCATCTGATTTAGACATAACAAAACAACAACAAATGTGCCCAACAAGCAAAAGACTCCAAATTTCGTTTTCATTACACAAACATGATCATGCTTGATACAAACAGACAACAAGCACAACAATTCCAAGACAAGAAAACAACAACAAAAACAGAGACCTACCAACAACAACAACAAACCACACCCAATCGTCTCAACCTATCACTTTACTCAAACCAAGCATGAGCATACAACCTACAATGACAGCAATCGACATTTTCTTCATGCTTGATTTGGATTCCAAGAGTTCTTCTTCAACCCTCTCCAAAATCTCTTCCTCTATCTTCAATTGCATCCTCTCAAAAACCATCTTCTGCTGATCCATAGTCGCTGTTGTAATCTGGGACATGCTTTGTTCAAGTGCAGCAGTTCTTATAGACAATCTCTCTATCTCATCTAACAATGCTTCGTCAACCCACTTGAAAGTGTGGTTATCATCGATAAGCTACAGAGAACAGAGAAATCAACTCAAAATTTGATACAAACAATCCAAATCTCAATCACATTACCTTATGCGATGCAGCGTAAGCACAACGATAGTAACGGCGGTACGGATTGGCAGTGGACTTTGAAATGATCGCCGAGATACTAGCACCACACCAACACATCTTTGGCACACCCGCAATTCTTCTTCTTTGTCCGACATTTGATGCTCTGGTGATGAACGACAACATCAGACGACGGCGGCTCCAACTCATTTGAATCCATCAGTTGAAATCTCCAATTTGAGTTTTCTGAGTTTCTAGGGTTCTTAGGTTCTTAGAATTAGGGATTCTGGGAATTGGGGATTTTGAGAATTGGGGGTTTTAAATTCTCGGGTTGTAATCGGGTTGGTTTATGGGTAAATCCGGTTTATTTTCTTTGTTACGCGGTTAATGGTGGTTTGGGTACAGTAAACCAAGTATAAACCACGAAAATCAAAATTTTGGAGATGGCGGTCTTGAAGTTTTGATTTAGGGGGACACATGAGTGTAACTTTTAATCTGTGTGGACAGCGATCGAGATCCGAATTCGGTGTAGTTGTGATACTATGTGAAACTTACTAGGGGGACACAGGTCGTTTTCCCAGTTTTTAACCTAGGAGGAGGCTACGAGCCTTTGGATCTAAAAGGACACGTGGCAGTTGCGCCGCGTGAATCGCGCCGTATCACGTGATAAGGAAACCTTTTGGGGTATTTTTGGCTACCTCACAGCCTCCCCCATCCATCACGTGGCCAACTCACACCTCTCGATTATTGCGGGCCCCACTATTCTTTTTTACGCTATCCCGTTTTCACTCTTTATTTTTTTCTAAAGAATTAATTTGCTAATTATGGGATACAAAAGGTTTCTTAAAACAAAAGCTGTTAAAATGCTTTGTTAGATTAGCAAAGGGGAAAACAAGAACAAAAACTATGTACTTTGAAAATAACGGGCCGTATAATTTTGATATTGAAAAGAGAAACTCTAACCATTAAATGCACTGAACCAGATCACTGATCTATATAGTATTGTTTTCAACTCTTTTTTTCGACGTGCACCTAATTCAATTCTTGTACTGAAAATGAGTTATGATGACAAACAAAACAAAAATAAAATAAATATAGTTTTATACTTTTATTAAAGAATTAATTACGGATTTTGTCATTTTTCATAATGGCATTTGTGGATTTTGCTATTTTTTGAATAGTTTGTGGATTTTGCCATTTTTCAGGTTCCAAAAATATGATTTAACATGCGTTTCACTCGTTATGTTTGGGTTTAGTCGGTTCTATTTGTTCTTAGGGTTTAGTATTTTGTATAAAGTACGTATTTTTGCAAAAAAAAATCATAAATACGTATATTTTTAAGTGTTAAAAAATGGCAAAATTCGTAAACTATTCAAAAAATGGCATTTTCGTAAGTTTTCCCAAAAAAATAGCATTTTAGACAATAATCCCTTTATTAAATGTTGCATTTTTTATGTACCATCTATGATAAATATACAAAAACAAGTGTTCATGCTGCTGATTTCTGGTCACTGTTTTTTGTTTGCTCGGAACTTGAATCTTTGCAAGGTTACTGGGATAATCAACGATTATATAACTTGTGTGAGATGGCAAAAATCAAAATTGTTAGGATTTTGATATAGCATCTTCCGATCGATGACATTCAAATGTTCAAGTGGAAGATGTTATTAATTATTATATATAACAAGGTTGAGACTTGAGAGGAATGACAATATAATGTTATTTTCACAGTTTAATTGGATGTTCTAATCTTATGTAGGATCCACGATTCGTTTTCACGTGAGGTGATAACGAATTTATAAGTTTTTACTTTTTGAGATAGAACTCCATTTTATGGAATTTGGAGTCGGGTATTACCACTTTGCATGTGACATTTGTTGTGGATTTTGATGATATATATGGCTGTTGGTTAATAAACCTAGCTATTAACCTAGTTCACGCCATAAAAACATGCATGCCTGCTAAATTCGGCTAAAAACAATAGTAATGTTTCCGTAAGATGATACTATATAATATGCGTGACAATCATTTTTGTCACGAATTTAATGTTTGTTCACCAAGTTCAAGCGTTAGTTGGTTACGTGACAAGATGATTTCGGATGACACACTAATGCATGAAAACCACAAGCCAGTAGAGTTTTACCTAGATTTGATATCCACTTGACACATAGGAGGCGTTGAATCTAATTAATTAAATTAACGCACAACAATTAACATAGATAATTAATCTCGTAAGAAAATAGACTACCCGTGAGGCCGTTACCCAAAAAAAAAAGACGCTAACTTATGACTAATCAGTGTAAAATATTTTATAGACTATGTAACAAAATTTTTTTCTCCCGTAGTTAAAACCCACTCGACATATTTCAACACACTGTATACTTTTTTATCAAAAAAAATATATATACATGTTTTTATCACAAATCTATAGAATTTATTTGACAAAAAGATTGTTTTACTTTTGGAACGGGATCATTCGGGGACGTTTGCCACACGTTACATAAATAATCGTTGGTTACTTGGTTTTACACATAAACGTCATTGGTCGTAAAACTGTGCAGTAGTCCAAATAATTAAGATTTCTAATATTAATTAAGTGAAACAATTCTGAAATAAGGATTTCGAAAATGTAAGAATAAAACTAGCTAGGTTATATAGGCCGTAAAAAAAGGAAAGACAAGAAGGTGAAAGTGAGATTTGGAGAAGAGGAGGAGGAGCAGAGAAGGATAGTCACGTGGGGTGCCCATTCCCTGCCGTTAGTTGCCTTCCGTCTCGCGTGCGGTGGGTCCCATATCATCTCCTCACCATAGAGTGGCCGCACTGTTGGACACTCTTTGACGCCGTTTAACTCCAAATGTTGCCGTTAAGCAGTGGCGGAGCTAGAATTTAAATTTACCGGGGTCAAAATATAAAAAATATTTTAATAAAGTGTGGTTGTTTTTTTTCTTCAAATTATATTGCATATAGCTTATGTTTTTTTTATTACATTTACAAAAATGAAATTCTGATATTTATAAAAACATTTGGTTTGTCTAAAACATGATAATAAAATTAAAAACAAAGAAACTTATATATAACAATTAGTGGTTATAGTCTATATCATTTTGTAATATTAAAAAAGTTATGGTTTAAGGGGTCAAAAGAGTAGTTTTCATATTAGGCACTGGGGTCAATTTATAGGAATTTAATCAAATATCTATGTATTTGTTTAAATATGCCATAATATTAGTTTGATTTTGAAAATTCACCGGGGTCAGTTGACCCCCATGTTTCTATGCTACCTCCGCCACTGCCGTTAAGTAGAGTGAGATTTTTTGGTACGAGCAAATGGGAGAGGAGAGGAGAGACGTGAGGGGCACGTGCCTGTAACAGAGAGAGAAGCGGTGGCGACCGATCGCTTTCGCGTGATGGTATCACGTGAGGGCAAATTTACTCATCTTTGGCCTTTGGGTCCCATGACTCCCATTGTTTTTTTTTTCACTCTGACAAAATATCAAAGATTAGAACTCGAGGTAAAGTAAAACTCGTGGGTCCTCTAGCTATGAATATTTTTCTTTTAGTCGCTTTGTGAATAAATAGCTGACATTTGTGAATCTGTGGTAATGTGCTCATTTACCACTATACAACTAAGGTTTAAGCTGCCAATTTAAACTAAATCGTGGATAATTGTATAGTGGTAAATGATTTGAAAACGTGGATTCGTACTATTTTTCAGTATTCTTCAAATTTACGTATTCCAAAATAGATCAACACACATTTGTAAACTAAACTATTTTTTTCTTATCGTTTTTAAAATTATTATGTTTAAAGTTAATTAACCGATATGTTCACATATGTTATATAATTAAAAATTTAAAAGCTGTTTTTAATTTTACAATTATGTCATCAATAAAATTTGACGAGAATTTTGGTAATTAGCGTCATTGTCTCGTTACGTTTTATAAGAAAGGGATATTATCTAATGACGCTTTATAAGCATTTTAATGGTGGATGAAAAAAAGAATCAATTACGGATTTGCCATTTTTTGGGATGACATTTGTGGATTTTGCCATTTTTTGAATAGTTTATGGATTTTACCCTTTTTTAGGCTACGGAAATATGCGTTTTATTCGTTATGTTTGGGTTTAGTCGGTTGTGGTTGTTCTTAGGGTTTAGTATTTTGTATAAACTACGTATTTTTACCAAAAAAAATCCGAAATACGTACATTTTTAAGTGTTAGAAAATGGCAAATTCATAAGATTTTTGCAAAAATGGCATTTTCAAAAGATTTTGGTAAAAAATGGCAAAATCAACAATAATCCCTGAAAAAAAGAAGAAGAAGAAGAAGAAGATAAGATAAATTATGTTGGGAATAGAAGGAGAGGGCATGTGGTGTCCTTTCTCGAGTGACCTGTCGGTTTATGGGTCATTGATAATACGTGAAAGCGAAAGCTCTGGAGAGAGAAGCTCTTATTATTATAGTATGTCAAAAAAGAAAAAATAAAAAAGAGAAGATGTGTTTTCTTTTGTTCTGTTCCCACACTGGTTTTCGCTTACGTGGCCTCTCTCACGTGCTAGACTCTTTGGGCTTCTCTTTTTTTATTATTTTTTATTCTTACTTGATGGCGACTTCGATTAAGACGCGGCCCATTCCTTATTCGACAAGTGTCTCCTCTCCATTTATTTATTTCTATTTTATTGCGAGATACTTTTGGACCAACCAAAAAATTAATATTATTATACATTTTCTCCTTTTTGGTTGGTCCAAAAGTATAAAAATAAATTCTTTTTTTCTAGTCAAATAAATCAATAAAGCATCATGATATATATGTTGACAAATTGAAGTAAACCATGATAATTTATGGGCCGTCCATGGGCCGCGATGGTGTAAATGTACATCTAATCCCACCGTACACTACACACATTCGGTTTCTCCCATCAATTCAAATAGAACCGATGTAATTCAATCTCAAATTTGGTTTGGGTGCTCAAGAGATTCTTGTGATCTCCTCCGTTCTAACGGGCCAATAGTTCGATCTGGCCCATTCAAGCATTTCTTGATCCGAGATATGACTGAGGGACAAACTCGTCATTTAACGTTATTCCACTAAAAGAGTAAATATCGTCAAAATTGATGGCGGAGATTTTCATGTGTTCTGATCGAAAAACGACGTCGTATGACAACAACACAGAGAGGTGAGATTGTTAGTTAACGCAGTAGATCCTCGATTCGATTTCTCACAATTCTCCGATAACTGATTACTCTTCTTCCTCCTCCGTCGTGGTTTCAGGCGACGAATTGGTTTCAGATTTAGTCGTGGTTTCTCTCGATCTTCTCTAGCTCTGTCATGGATCTGTTACACCAGCGAGGTGAGCAGACTGAGGTAACTTCTCCTCATGACGATATTAATAATATCCATGGTGATTTTGATAGCGAGGCTACGGATGAATCGCGATCCGAATCTTGTTCTGTTGTGATAGAGGGAAATTGCGACATGGTTATTGAATTAGGGTTGGATTCTGGAAGTGTTGTTGTTGAGAATTTAGGTGATAGTGATATTGATGTTAGTAATGATTTTGATGAACCTGATGACGACGATTTCTTTGTTGGGAGGAGTGATTTTGGGCTCGAGTTCCGCGATATCGCATCGATGGGGACTGATATTCGGTTGATTACAGTGGAATCGGGTTCTGATGATGATGATGATGATGGTATTGAGAATGAAAAGGAATTATGGGGGATTGATCTGAATGAAGAAGATGTATATGTGAATGATGATGATGAATATGAAGATGACGATGATGATGATGATGATGATGTTAGTGTGACTATCCCTCTTTGTTGGGATTCACTCCAATTAGAAGATCGTGGAGTAACTGCTGATGAATTTGATTGGGAAGAAGTTGATGGTGGTGGTGGAGTGGGGGATGAGAGAGAGATACGAAGTGGCTTTGCACAAGTTGATTTCAATGACGAAAGTTCTGTTTCGATTTCTGTCTCGCCAATTGTCTCCTTAGAGGATTTAGTGACAAGGGAAAGAGCAGAAGGCTCGGGAAATCTCGGGTGGGAAGTTTTGCTGAATCATACTCTAGAGATCAACTTTGATGTGGAAAACAGAGAGCTGTACATTGGTGGTGATCATGACGATTATATTCAAGAGTATGAGATGTTTTTTGAACAGTTTGCCGATGCTGAGATTTCCGTTATCGGTTTACCTCCTACTTCCAAATCTTTCCTCAAGAGTCTCCCAATGGTTCGAATTGGAGTTGAGAACGATGATGATGATGGTGTGGTTTGTGCAGTTTGTAAAGATGAGATGAATATCGGGAACGAAGCTGTTCAATTGCCTTGTAATCATAAGTACCATAGTGAATGCATTGTACCGTGGCTCAAAGTAAGGAACACATGTCCTGTATGTCGTTATGAGTTGCCTACTGATGATGCAGAGTATGAGCAAAGGAAGATCCAGAGAACAACAAATACTTTAGGCATGGTTCTGTAAATGGTAAACATCATCCTCGATATGTAAGATTTTTGTCTTGAGTAGTGAATAATGTAGATATTCTGTGTTTGGATTGTGTCAAGCGTTTTCGTAGTTGGTTTTGTTCTAGTATTTTGCCTCAATTGTGTGACCCATGTGATGGTCTAAGCTTAGGAGGCTAGCTTTACAGAGAAGAACTCAAGAAAATATTCATGTACTTTGAATCTTTGATGTTTGCTTTTATCTCATTTTATTGACCTGGTTTATACATTTACCTGGAACAGTCATTCCAAATCTTTAAATTTTATACTTAAATTTCAATCAAGAAGTAAACTCGAACTGAGAAGTAAAAAAATAATCATATCAAATTAATATATTATGTATGTGATTTGCAAATAATTACTAGTGGAGTTACGAATAATACAACCTGGTTTTCAATTTCTGTGGCTCGACATAGCTTTTAAGTTAAAGGAGTTGTATTGTCCTTTTGTGGAAACAACGTTGCCGTCTGGTAACTCTAATCATACTAATTTTGGAATCTGTTTCACATCACAATCACCCTTTTTTTTTTTGGGTCCATTTATCCTCCAATAGAGTAATCTTAAGTTCATTGATACTTCTTGTTTAAGAACTAAACATTAATGTTTTGTTGTATAGCATTTTCCAACGCATTAAGATTTTCTTCGTTAACGTAGTAGTGTTATACAGAGTCTATGAGAAGTAAAAAGTTGTGTGAATAAAAAATTGAAAATAGCTATAACGTGCAAATTTGTCCAAAAAAAAAAAAAAAAAAAGCTATAACGTGCAAAAGCTAATATCATCCAATGACTCTTTTTGTATAAATCACAATCACCAATGTTGTTTTTGTTTATAGGTTTATTGTGTTGAAGAAAATTAAAAATTACAGAGCCATATTGAAAATTCTGACAACACAGAAACATTGAATTACAGATGAACCAAGTGTAGAGTTCGAAATACATATAGTGTAGTGAAAATTATAAAAATAAAGGACATAAAACCAAAAGCTTTAAAGAAACAAGAGCTCATGAGATTCATCAAGACATTTTCAGTTCTTGTTTCTATGTTTTATGAACATGGATATATGAGTTTTGCATTTTAAATTTGCCTAAATTAACCTTGACAAGGATGTGAAACTGCTAGTGACATTTTGTCAAAAGGTGTCACTAGAAACTAGAATGAGTTGGTGAAATTTTTCCAAATGCATAAAGCAGGCTGGACAAGAAATCCCACTTAAGAATATTAATTACTGCTAAATGCTTAATTACAGCTCAATGCAATAAAATTTATGTATCTCATTAATTAAAGAGCTTAAACTTGGCGTACAAGACAAGATATGTATATATGTTCTTTCTTTGATCTAAAAGATTGTTATTGTAATATCGAAAATCCAAAATCCCCCTCCCTTTCTCTATTTCTTTCTCAAATTGCATCATCTAGAAACCAAACATGGAGGCTGATGAAGATCAACAATACCCCTCTCATAATGTCAATCTTTTCGATGGGAATCCATCTCCTAACAATAATTTCAACTCAATGTTCCAACCAAACCCACAGGATGAAGACGTCCATGTTCATGACTATGTCGACAATCATGACCACTAGTCCACTACCGTCATCAACAACCATTTGTTGTGACGGATCAAGAGAAGAGGTTAAGGAGACTGGCGACTAATCGAGAATCAGCAAGAAGATCGCGGATGCGTGAGAGGATGATGAAAGAAGTGTTGCAAATGCAAGTAAAACAACTCATGGCGTCCAATCAATTATATATTGTCTAACAAATATATTAGCTTGTTGGAGTACAATCACCAGATCTTGCAAGAGAATTCACAGCTCAAAGAGACAGTTTCTTCCTTTTATAATCAATATACTATATCTTATGGAAACCATGAAGATATACTTGGAAACATCAATGATTAATGTAATTAGCTTCGTTTTTTTTTTTTTTGTAATTAGCTTCTTTTATTATTTATCTCTTTACTGGATTCTATCTATAAAGATTAATAACTGTATATATATTGCTTCATGATTTCTCTATATATCTCTCATTTACTTATATCTTCCGTAATTTGCTACATTTTGTTTACCCTTTTTTTTTTTTTGATAAACCCTATCGGCTATCCGGTCGGCTCTGGTAGGAACGCACCGAGGTGCTACATAGTGGACTGGTCCACCGTGTTAACGGTTAGGCCCTTACGGGCTACCACTCTGCCTATCCCGAGTTTGGAATGTCTTCCGACTAAGTACCAGGGGTAGTCAGGCCGCCTGCATTTCTGGCTACCAGATAAACCAATTGGGCCAAGGCCCAACTGACAGACTTCCCAAACAAATGTGTTTTTGTTTTCAGGGAGAATCGAACTCAGGTTTGGGAGTTTCACTTTTTCCCAAAGTTTCCTCTGCCACTAGACTACGGATGCTTGAGCGTCCTTAAATTTCTACTTTCCCTTGGTTCCAAAAGCTTCCGTAGTTTGGAAAAAGAAAAAAAAACTTCCGCGTGAGATTTATTTTTGTAGAATCTACAAATGTGTCATGTTAGAAAAAAAATGACGAGAGAAGTAAAAATAGATAACAAAGTCCATATTAAAAAAACATAAATATCAACGTGATAAAATATTATCGAGGAATTTATCATCCGTCTTGAACCAATTGTGGTTTTTTTTTTTATAAACCCTATCGGCTATCCGGTCGGTCTCGGTAGGAACGCACCGAAGTACTCCACCGTAATTAGAAACCACAATTGATTCGACGTTAGTCTCAAACAATAGATCAACATGTAGTTGTGTATAGTTACTGCAGGGGGATGCATGTGAACAAATGTCAAAGTTTTGGGGGTAAAAGGACAAAAATAAAAAGAATTGCAGAGAGATACACGTGCAGAAGAGATATGTCCCCTATGGTCACAAAACATGTTTCCCTGTCTGTACTAAAGATACAACCAAAGATGATGGGTTCTTATTCTATGTCTCGATTTCTCAATTATATACAACTCATACTGTGTGCACGTGTGTGTCTATGCCAACCAAATCTATGCAACATTATTATTTCTAAAAATTTATTCTAAATGTTATTATTTCTTTGTAATATATATAAATCTTTTGTTCAATCAATTATAGTGGTTTTTACTAAAAGATGTCAAGATCTCTTCAATTTTTGTGTGGTAAGTGTTGTGCAACTTTGAGTTGCTTATACTTCATCCGAGAAGAACATAGTATGTGTATATCCTTTCTACATAAGTTTATGAAAATACTATTTCGTTACATTTTTTCTTAGCTGCTTGGCCGGTAATAGGGTATTTGGTTTACTAGTTTAGACATTAGCAATGTAATAGTTAATATTTTCATTAAAAAAAATGTAATAGTTTAATAAATGATGATTTTAAAAATTGTTAGCTAATGATTTAAGTTGCGGTAGAGGGTGCTAATAGTTTGCAGATGGATTCGTCGGTTGTGTTAGATTATTATTCTATATTGGAAGTGAAAATGATTCAACAATAGTAATAATATATTAAGAAAATATGATTCTCTCAATTTATATTGTCAATTGGTTTTAAGTTATAAATGGTTAATTATATGTATTGTAAATTCTTGTTTAATGTTCAATTTCTGACTTATGTGATGTAGTAAACAAAAATATTGTAAAATTGCAATGGTGAGTATAAATACTCGTTAATACCATATGTTAGAATGATTATATAACTATGTCAATTCTGCCACATGATTAGTGGGTAGATATCATAAAAAGTTAATTAATGTCATATGTATATTTATTAATAGTAGTAGTATGAAAACTGAATATATACAGAAATAATCATCTAGAAATAAGTAAATTAAGATGGCATATGGGGTACTATGGTGACCATAAAGAAACCCATAATGGAATGCATTGATGATGTACATCTCATCAAGAGACCCAAGCCATCATCATCATCATCATCTTCATCACTGTATCTGTACTATGATCTCGTTTTAATGATTCACACATGTCTCTAACATAGACAGTAATTAATCAAATATATATAAGGCTACACAATTAGCAAATCATCAGATAGAAAATACGCTTTCATAATTATCAAAACAGAAATCGTCATGACACAAGGACATAACATGGATCGAGTAAGAATAAAATCATATTGGAAGTGGAACAAACTTAAATAAAACATAGACACAAAGTCACTATATAAAATCAAACTAACCCTTTTTGTATAACTGAACCAACGTAGCTATGAACTACACTGTAGCTATCATTACCATCATCATAATCATGATTATCCCCATCATCGTCATCCTCATCATCAATGATGGTGTTGTGAACCCTAGTAGTCTCCACCAAAACCATCTCTTCATTAGTCCTTTTCTTCTTCTTCTTTATAGAGTTTTGCTCCTCAATCTCTTGAGCAAGTTTGAGAGATGATGTGGCTTCCATTGGACCAGAAGATGCATCGGAATCCATTGAATCACCACCATCGCTATCTTCTGCTTCTTCGTCATCATCATCATAGTAACAGTCGTCGTCATGATCATGGGACTGCGAGGCTAAATACATCGTCCATCCAGATTCACAGCTACGACCATCCTCATCGGATCCAAAGATGTTTGCTGACTCCATTTTAAAATATTATAACTCTTTTTTCCTAATTTTGTGTTTATATATAAATATTAACAAAGAGACCCCAAACAAAGAGACCAACAAAAAAAAGCCCTAAAGTGAGACAGTAACAAGAAGAAGCTGAGATATTAACTTATTAAGTAAACAATCCAACAAGCAACAAGCAAGTATGTGTATATATATCAGTGTATGTATGTAAGCGCGTATATATAATATGTAAGCGTGTGTGTATCCGTGTATGTATGTATATGCATTTGATGATAAAAGACAAAATAAGAAGGTTTCTTCAAAAAAATATTTTTTTTAAGAATTTGGGAAAAAGGAATATTCTGTCAAAAAAAGAGAGAGAAAAAATGGAAAATATATATATAACTTGATTTGTTTTTTTTTGGGAAATTAAAAGATAATTAGAGGCTGACTTTTATAAAGATAAGAGGAGGGAGTTGGGTGGAAGAGATAGAGATGGAGAAGAGGTTGTATTTAAAACACCTGAGAATTTCTATTTATCTCTCATCTTCTTTCTGACCAAAGAACAGCTCACTACCCGAATTTATATATAAAACTTAAATAATACAAAGACAAACATACCCATCCAATAATTTATTTTAAAAAAATAAATAAAAACTAGGGAAAAATTAAAGAAATAACGGTTTTTTAAATAAATACAAACTAGGAAAAAATAAAGAAATAACGCCGAAATGGTATAACATGATACTTGTTGAAAATTTGCATGAAGTTTATGTTATTTGAAAACAAAAAATCACACCCAATAAACGAACAAATAAGATGGTTATCTATTTGCATATTCTCTTCGAAATATTGATAAACACATGAGTTAGGTTAGATTGACAAAAACATAGCAATGTTCACTAAATGTGAGGTTTTGGATATTTGAGAAGTATAAAACCATTATTCAAATAATTTAAAACTAGTCTATTCAAATGTATTAAAATTTAAATTTGTATAGTCTTACGGCTATTATCATTCATATATGTTTAACAACAACAACAAAACACGTTAATATGATTATCTAAGCAAAAGTTAATCTAAGAGAGAGAGAGAGAGAGAGTGAGAGGGCGAGAGAGGGAGAGAGAGAGGGAGAGAGCTATAAATGAAGAGAGTTGATGAGAACAGCAAGAGTCCAGCTAGTAGCCGTGAAGGAGAGAAAGTGAAATCTCTTATCTCGTCGAAGTAGCATCTTTTAAATGCAATAACTTTAAACATCATATCTTAAAAATACTATATAAATGACTAAAAATATAGTTGTAGGGTGTCATTGAGTTGGAATTTGGCAAATTAGCCTTTCACATCTAGGAAAGAAGATGTAATAAAGAGTGATTGATGAGAACTGATTTTGTTTTGTCGACATAGAGAAAGCTGATTAGCTAACTTACTTTGAAAAAAAGACTACAAAACATTCATATCTCTTCTTCTTCTACACACAAAATCGTTATGGTGTTAAGTGAGTGAGTGACAATTTCTATAACACCAAGAAAAAATTAAGAATACTTTACTTCGGTTGGAAGAGCGTAATAATGTGACTTCGTAAAGTCGGTGCTTTTAGGGTTTGGTTTCTACTCTAGTTAAATTCTTCAAGTGAATAGGGCACCAACATAAAAAAAAAAAAAACTCGATAAGGAGTGTAAATAAAATGATTGATAGTATGTATATATATAAAATATACCAATATTAATCAATGTAATCTTAGATTTAAAAAAAAAAAAAAATCTTAGATTTTAATATGAAAATTACTCATATAACGAAAGAAAGTGCAACGGGGGAATGTTTCCAAATTTTCCTCAATTTATTAAATATAAACATTTGAATTGATATCATTCCAATTGAATCAATATAGTTGAGGAAGAATAATGTATAATCTGAGAAGAAAATATTGGAAAATGTGTAATGAACAATAAATAAGGAGTACCATCCCAAAATTATTATACCCCCTGTGATTTGTGCTGTTCTGTCTTTCTTTAATTTACTGCTGTTAAGTCCTTTCTCTTCCTCTAAAAGTTCAAACATCTCTCGCTTCCTTTGTCACAACAGACAATTAAATATCTTTCGTTTAACATGCAGAATATTTACCTATATCAGGGATTATTTCAATTCTAATATTTTCTTCACATGGCATTTCACTGGCTATATATATATATATGAATTTCAGTTCAGGTTCATAGACAAATTATGGACTTAATATGATCTGATATAAAAAAATGAGGATATTGAAAAGTTCATGACAACTGAAGGATAATTTTCAAATATTATGGAAACAATCTCTCTAGAATGATCTTTAGAAATCTACAATACATACTAATACTGCTAAGTAACTGTGGAATGTTTTCTTACAACAATATAATTGTGGAATGTTTCCTTATAATCGTTATTAGATAAATGTTGGTTTTATCAACAATATAGGGGTACTGTAGCTCTTTTCAATTTTTAGAGTTACAGAATACAGAAGTGAAGTTTAAAATAATAATGTTTACTGAGAGTGAAATAAATAGTGATCAGACATTTATCTTCCTGAAATTGACATCCGTAATTTATTTCTTTTGAGTTCTATGAAGTGACTCAAATCCGTAAAAGTAGAAGGTCGTACACACACGCATATATAGATATGAGGAATTGTTTCGAAAAATAAATCATTTCATTTATAAAAATGATAATAACTTCTTCAACAACATGTTATGGGTATCTACGGATATGTATTTATGTGTACCACTGTACCTAGTGAACAATTCTTCTTTATACAAATCTTCAAAATGTACTACATACCTTACAAGTTGTTATCAATCAAGTTGTGGTTGTTGACAATAAAAATATCAACTTGTGATTCCCATCCTACATTAGGGAAAGTGATCTTATACCTAAACAACTGAAGTGTTTAATATATTTATACGAAAATCTCTTAAATCCAACCTTTTTTTTCTTTTCAAAAACTATGGTTATAATTAATCCAATAAGTTCTTGACGAAAAAAAAAAACTAAAATAATGTATATTTTTTAATCAGCACAAATTTATAAACGCATCATCGACATATTGTATGCTCATCTAAAGACATAAAAAGGAAAAATCAAACAATAGACAAAAAAAATATATCATGATAATAACCAGAATTAAGACAACTAATTTAAAGAGATACTATATTGTCCTTTAAGTAAATTTATTGGTTCACAACTTCCCATAGTCAAAAAGAAGACCCCGAATCCTAAATAGTTCAAAATACATTACGAAGAGACAAAGCAATGTATAAAGAGTCTTTTTCTTTTCCTCCTTTCACCTTTTTGGAAAACCACCATAATTAGGAAATCATTTGGTGAATTTAGCGATCAACTTGTCGACATGGATGATGATATCGTCTATGCGCGGTCGAACCGCAGCCTGTGGTTGCAGCATCCAAGTTACGAACTGGTGAAGAGCTTCAGGATAAGAAGCCTTTGGTCCAGTGTTTGGCCACTTGATCTGAGCGTTCACGATTGCGAGCTGAAGACTTCCACCAGATTCTCCAAGAGCATACTCGAATGGAGACACACCGTACCTGCAACAAAAAAAAGACCTCAAAATAAGTTCCAAGTAAATGAAATTGTTTTATCTTACAAGGAAACCAAATATTATTGTATTACATTATTGCATATAATGTGCAGCCTAGTGACCAGATATCTGTTCTCTCGTCAATATCAGCATGGCTTGGGCAATCCCAGAGCTCGGGAGCTCGAAACGGTGCTGAACAATGCTCAGATGTCCATTCCTATAAAAGGCATGAAGAATTTGCAAAGTCAGTAGTTGTAAGTTTCTATTCTCATCTGAAATAGAATTTTGATGACTCACGGAGAATATGGAGTAGTACGATCTCAAAAGCTTATGATGAGTATAAAATAAGGGATAGATATAGAACCTGTAATTGTAAGGCCTCTTGACGGGAACGGATTTGCTTCCGTGATGGGCGAGCACTCCCAAAGTCCATCAAAATCGCAAGAGGAGGCTGTCCTTTTCTACGTGTTAAAAGCACGTTTCCAGGTTTGACATCGTTGTGAGCATAAGGTGGCTCCAGAGAGTGCATGTGTTTGAGTCCATCACAAAGCTGCAATGGAAAGTCAAAAGATTTGCAATTTATGACTAATCATACAGTAACTCACATGGTTCCTAATATACTAAACATAATGGTTAGTTGCAAAAGAAGAAAAGAGAGTTGTAGAAAACCCAAGTTTAAAACATAAATTAAACATCAGTTGTCGAGAATTAGTTACCTGACGGAATATGTGCAAAACATCAGTTGTTGAGAATGTTTCCTTTTTAGCCTTCATCAAAGTGAAATTATCCAGCAAGGTCCCATCCAAGTGAACAGGAAATAGCAAGAAGGCCTCGTGTTTCCAAGCTCCCTCTTGGCCGTCCTAACCAATCAAAAGCAACACACTTTCTAAATCAGACTTTACATGAGAAAATTACAAAGACAAATAGCAAAAAAACTCAAAAAGTATCAACCAATGAAAGTTCAGATTACCTTAACAGAAATAATGGCATGATCAAGGAGTGGAAGCAAATTAGGGTGATTGAACAATGATGAAACACGGATCTCCTCCCTCACCAATTCCAATTGCTCCTTGTTCTGAATCAAAACTTTCTTCATAGCATAAGTTCCATCAGCTACAAGGAAATCACAGATAAATAAACTCGAGGTTAGTCATGGGACAAACTTAAGAAAAAAAGAAAGTTAAAAGAACCAAACAAGCTAAACCAGTCAAGTTCAAGTGGCAATATACAAATAACAAAACCAAGCTCAAGAATACCATAACTTCAGATGCACAGTGGATCAAAATAGGT